GCCAGCAGCTGAGTTTTTAACTATGTGCCAAATTTTAAGACTACAGACAAGTCTATGCTCCAGACAGCTAGCTTTCAATTTAGGTTGTTTGTAACATTTGGCTAACTGCCAAGCTAACGGTAGCTGTGCATACAGGATGAGAGACTGAGGACAGAGCAGTTTAAATGAACCCTTTCTACATGTTTACCTTAAAGACAGGTGTATTGCTAAAGTGTTGTGTTTTTACTTGCGAAGGTTTTATTGCACGTACTTACAGTAACGAGCAAGGCTGTCGGCAACTCGAGTAGTTTGGAACTAACTTAACTTCACCGTCTCCACCACGAGCGGCCTCTTGCTCGGCTGGCTGGCGTGCGTGCGTGCGTGTGTGTTTATGTAGGAGCCGACAGAGCAGAGAGGCGGCAGCCTGATGATAAACCGTCCCGGGCCCATTTAATACGGCGTTTCGGTGCCCTCAATAAATAAACATTAGTTTTCTTATTCATCGTTTCAAGTTAAACCAGATTTTAACGCTCCAGACATGACTGGAAACTGGAATACGCTGCCACTTTTGGCACCCAGCTGTAAACGGATAAAGAAAAGTACTTCCAATAATTTTTGTATCCGTGTTTACATTTAAATTAAACATACCCTGAGACCTTTTTCTGTTCTACAGATGAATCCTCTATGTTACGGGTTTAACTAAAATATTGATGCTTATTTTAACCATGATTCCGAAGATTAAAATGTTAGCTAACTCAGAAGTGTTGTTGAAGTGACAAATAAGCTGGGGTTTTTTTGTCTGGTCGTTCCAGAGGTGCTTGGTACGAAACCCTAGAGAGCGAATCTCGATTGCAGAGCTGCTGGAGCATCCATACCTGCAGCTGAAGCCACAAGCATCACCTGAACCAGGTACACACGTGCGCACGCGCACACAAGCACACTGTACAAGTCTGTGTACTGGGAAGCCAACTGTGTGACTGACTTCTGCTCACCTGTTTCAGAACGTCCATGTAACAGTGAGCTCAGGAAGATCCTAACGGACCTTGCAGCCCTCCAGTCTCCAAACAGCATCATCCGAGCGGCTAACGTAAGACTTATTTTGTAAAACTTTTAACTTTCTCACCAACGTTGTGTTTCTTAAATATGAACTCTGCTTTTCACAGAATCTGGCCAAAATGTGCAGCAGCGGCAGGAAGTTGGATGTTGCAGAGTGTGCAAAGTCATCAACCTAACTCTCCTGGAAAATGTGACGTGGATATTTCTTCTTTTTTAAACTTTTTTGTACCCCACTAAACCACTTCAGTACCGAAACAATATCTTCTGTTGTAAGATGTAGAACTAACAAATCTATATTTGATATTTGTATGTTTTGTTTCCTTGAAACAATCATCATATTGCTTCATTTTTACATATGTCTTCTGATAATAAATGTAGGCATACAGTAGTCAAATAAAACATACTGTATCATTGTATCCAGTTGTTGGATTATTTGTCTCAGCTGATATTAAGGATGAGGAACTGACATGGTACACCTTTTTTAAGACGTTTCTTCGTGAGAGGAGAAATATTATATTAATATAATTATTGGGAACCTGTGATGACTTGCATTCGCGGGTTCCCAGCCCACTCGGGCTTGGACCCATAATAATAATAATAATAATAATACTATCTGCATCTGAAATGTTCAGATGCAGACATGATTGTTCAAAATCACAGCTGTACTTCTTGCTGCACTTCAACAAGGTGTCTGGAGACAGTCTAACAGTGTTTAAGTAGTAGAGTCATTAATTAGAGGAACATTTACAGTGACTTTTAATTAGCAAGCAACATGTGAGTATTGCTTTGAGACAGACTTGACAGAATTATTATATAAAATTTCATCCAGTCTCTGGTTTTTCCAGAGCTGAAGGGGGGAACAACCATAGTGACCTAGCAACTGAGTGTGAGCATGTGTAGACAGTGTTTGTGTAATTAGTCTCACTGCCAGAAGGAGGTGACAAAAGTAGCACTGCAGGTTGAACTTTGACACAGGCCCACAACATAAGGTAATAAATAAAACTACGCTAAAAGAATGAACATTTGCCCACATTGCTCCACTGGTCATCCAGCCGTTATATGAAATTTTTTATCTAAGTTTATCTAAAAATACAGTGATCGCCCTGCCTATAATTTGTGAAATAATAGTCTTATCAATAATAAATCTGTCACTACTCTAATAAATGACATTGTCGGGATCAATAAAGCAGGTGTGTGTTGTACATGTTTCATGTAATGAAACCTGTAACACAGGAAATCAGAGACTGTTGTGCCCACATCTTTACAGAGACCTGCTCCATCAACATGCTGGATGAAGCGCTTGCCAGGCAGCCTTTGTTCACAGCTGACAGAGCACAAGACTCCAGCCAAGTGTGAGAAGGTTTAAACACAGTCAAAGTGGATGGACACTGTTTCCCAAAATGTCAGACTTTCTAAGTGAAGATAAAAACCATATAATCTTCACTATGTTTTTATCTGTTTCAACTGTTTTTCTTGTATGTATGTGTAGTATGACGTTAATGCAGCCAGTAATAGAAAACTATATTCTGTACAGGTCATGTGGTGACACTAAGAGAAACACATTGACCATGTTTCTTTTCATATTACAACTGGAACATATAGTTAAACCACTGTCAACACAAGACTGCCTGCAATAACACTGAAAGCAATACATGCTTTTCCTATTTATATTTTTTTCTAATGCTAATATTTAGATGTATTATTGTGCATATATCCTAATTTTTACTTTGAATTGAGTATTATTTTATTGTGGTTCTGATCATTGAAATATAGTTTTCCCCCCATTATTGTTCTGAGATGAGGTGAAGTACAGCTCAAGAATGAGAAGCGAGATGAGACAGAAACAAAAGAACAGGTCCAGGAAACAACCCACAGCAGGGTGGGGAAAAAAGATAAGGGAGCAGCACTACGAAGAGGAAAAAAAGATGAACAATACCAGGATGAGAACAGAGATGAGTGAAGCAATTTCTTTATACTGGATGTGGAAGAGAGTGGTAAGGCACAACTGTAATCTAATTGGATTTCAGTGTTTTGTGGGTAAATTGAGTCAGAGAAAATGCAATTATTTATCTCAGAATCAATTTATCTTTAATAGACCCCAAAAGACCTCAGGAGGCCAAGGATGAGAAATGAGCAGAGCAGAGTAGGGGAGTTGAGAGAAATATTTGAGAAGTAGTACAGGAATGGAAAAATAAAATAAGAACAGCATCAGAACTCCAAAGTAAACGAATGACAGAAGAGAAATAAGATAAGGAAAGCAACACTTCCATTGTGAACATGGAAGAGAAAGATTATTTATTATTATAGAAATGTCTACAGTATAACCACAAATTGTAAAAATGGCACTGTGGATGTATCTTTGAATATATTATTGTCTGAGGCAAAATTCATTCACTGACATCAAAACAAAATGTTCCTGTTATCTGATGACACTTTCAGGTACTTTATTACACACAGAGAGCTGCAAAGAAGATGCTCTCATCCTGATACGTTTTCCAACATCAGATCTGATCATGAAATGCTCTGAACGACTGGTTCTGGCCCACATAAAGGACACTGTGTCAGCTGTCATACACTCTGCTCTCTCCCACCTAGAGAGCAGGGATTCCTACGTCAGGCTGCTTTTCCTGGACTTTTCATCTGCCTTTAACACCATCATTCAACAAACTGCTGCTGCTGCTGGGACTAAGACCATCTCTCTGGGCTGAGGTGGCGTGGTCTATTGCAGAGCAAACAACCTCTGCATCAGTGTGGGAAAAACTAAGGAGATGGTTGTGGACTTTAGGAGGAGAGGTCATACCTCCTCCCCTCTTCATTGATGGAGTAACTGTGGAGACGGTGTCCACCTTTAAAATCTGGGCCTGTACATCTCCATTGACCTCACATGGGCCACCAACACAGCCAGCATTATTAAGAAGGCCCACCAACGCCTGGACTTTTTGAGGAGGCACAAATTGTTTATCACCCTCCCCTCTCCCAGAAGGTTGCGCAGTCTAAAAGCAAGAACAATAAGGCTAACGTGCTAAGAGGCTGTGAGGTTTATGAACTCCTTGGCTTGGAGCTCCTCCTGCCCTTTGCTCTCACATTGCTGCTACTGCACTAGGCACTTTAATGATGCCATATGGTTTTAACTATGGTTGTAAATATTGTGTTTATTAAGGTAAGGATTATCTAAATGGTTTTATATAAGTATATCTTAATTTGTTGAAAATAAAGAACTGAATCTGAATGTAGTGCAGGCAACACCATGCTGTGCACCAAGTAAGCAGAAGGTCAAATGTAGGTGTAGGTCATGTCTAAGTTGATGTTTTTCTCATCTTCGGAAACTTTAAACACCTTTTGATTTTGGCCAAGCTTGTTAAAGGTAACTGTTAAATTGTGGCACTTTGATATACACGTGTACATATATCAGGTAGGCCTAGCTCCATATCTATCACTGATTTTTAAACACAATTAGTGTGCGCATTGACCATATCCAAAATCTCCACCACGCACACCGCCCTCCTGTTTGTCCAATCACAACCTTTATCTGATCGTGGAGGCTGGCACGGAGAAGAAAGAACACGAGCTCTCACTCCGCCGCTATTCCGGCGTACCACAGAGAGCCGACGTCCCCTTTCCCTTTCTTATAACGTTACTACTCTAAAATAAAGGGCCTTTTCTCGCCATATTCTGAACTAATTGGCTATCTACTGTAACAACTCTTAAATATTTAACACAAAGATATAAGCGAATATATTGTTCGTAACCCGGCGGGATATTACTGTTGCTAGATCATTTTGACCCGGCCTGAATTATAATTAGCCCATACAGTAGTGAATTTAATTTAGGGTACTGATAGAAACCCTCAGTATCAGCTTAAAGTAGTAACGTTAGTAGTAGTAGACCAATAGTATCAACATCCAGTTTCTCTCCACTGAGTGATGCGTTCTTCGCTTTATTAGACGATCTTCACACTTTGAGTCATCTTGCCCTTCCTGGTCGGCCATAACAACAACGATGGCGGCTGCTGCACGGTTCTTCATCCGAGGTGCACACTCGAGGCTTTCCATCTCCGGTGTTGGCACCGGGGTGCAGAGCTGCTTTGGCGCCACTCTGCTGAAACTGTCGCCGAGCTGCAGCTCCCGGACAAAAGCACAACGAAGACATGCCACGCACTTTACCTTCCAGCCTGACCCCGTCTCGACACAATATGGTGAGTGGCTGGCTAGCCGGCTAACGTTAGCCGTGTTGACACTGACAGGAGAGACTTGAATGGCAGTGGACTGTGTCCATAATTCAGCCCCTGAGCTAAAATGACAAGCGACTTACCAGCATTGACACTTTCTGGTTAAGAGATGTGGAAGCGTTGTATTTGCGCTATATTTGCCCAATGTCATTGAACCGCACAGTCTGTTACAGGTTGACAGGTGTAACTTTACTTAAATATTTAAAGAGCCCCTTAAAGACACAGCATAAGTGTCTGATAGGCAATTAAACTATTAGTGGAAAAAAACATAACGTTAGTTGAACATTCATTAATTTACATCTAACGTTACTCCTTCTCCCTCACTGAAAACCAGATTTTAAACATGCACAATGTGGTTCATTTCAAAATTTTTACTATGACACAAGATCTTATCTACTTCACTGAAAGACAGTTGTAAGTGCTTGTCCATTGGAAGTTTCAGGTTTCCACATCACTCTTGTGTATAGTTGCATAGTGGACCATGATTGGCGCCAAACTAGAAAATCATCTTGTGCATAAGTGGGTCAAACTGAGGTTTAAGGTGAGCTCAGAGAAACTTCCACCCTTCAACAGCCTTCTGGTGTCAAAGTCTGCACGTACATCACTCTTCACAAACAGCCAGGTCAAGTAAGAATAAGCGAAACACATTTTTGACTGGAGGGGGACTTATCACACGAGAGCGGAGTCTAGATCTATAGTAGGATCGAGTGGGATCTCATAGCGTGAGCCAGTCCCAAACAGTGCATGAGCTCACTGGACCAGGATGTTGGTATGCAAAAATACATGAACATATACTCAATATTTGTACTGGATCCTGAAAGACAACCTATTGTCATTTGTTCCTTTTCTGTAACAAAGATGTTTGTGTCCCAAAGTGAATCATTTCTTTCCTGCAATAACTGGTTTGATTATTTATAGTTGTGGTCAGCAGTGTAAATGGTCTGATCGCCATTCTAGTCTTTTCAACCGCTCAAAGCGCTTTACATTACATTCACCCGATTCACACACTGATGAGCAGAGGCTAAAGTGCCAACTACCCACCAGAAACAGAAGTGAACTCAATCATACACATTCACACACCGGTGGTAGAGCCATCGGGAGCGATTTGGCAATTTCAGTGTCTTGCCCAAGGAAAAGTCGACATGCAGACTGGGGCAGCTGGGGATAAAACCACTGACCTTCTCATAAGTGGACAACCGCTCTACCCCCTGAGCCACAGTCACCAGTGTACTGTTTGTCAAATCCAAATGCACAACAATTAATTGTTTATTTAAAATCTTTATTTATTTATTTATTTTTTTAAATCTTACAGGACCCACCCAGAAGATGAACTTGTTCCAGTCAATTACAAGTGCCTTGGACAACACTCTCGCCAGTGATCCAACAGCAGGTGATGCCAAAACAGGAAATGGAATTTTATATCTGTTTAGATTAGATAACAATCTGTTAAAAGTCTACCCTTTTACATCATTTATCATCAAACACTGGCTTTTAAATCATTTTCATAACCTTGTAAGACTAGGTGTGAGCTGTGCAAAATGTTGGACAATTGGATGATGTCCAGGAACATCATGATGTAGAATTGGAAATCTTGTGTTAGTTTGTTACTGCATTTCAACAACGACAAGGTGAATATATCGTAAGATTACAGTATAATGGAAATTGATTTAGCCGGTGGTGGGGTCATGTTCTTTAACAAAGTGTTCAAATCTTAAGTTGCATCCTCAGTCCTTGGTGTGCTTGTTAAGTTTCTAATAAAGCGTAGAAATGTTGCTTGATCAGTGATCTCTGAGCCAAAAACTATCAAGCCCCAAACAGGGAGCTGTAGGTGGTGCTAATGTTAATAGATTATATTTATCAATGAACAAAATGCGAAGTGAGTGGACAGAAGAAAAATCTAAATCAGAATTTGCTTTGATCTTCCTTTGCCTTTAAAACAGCATCACTTATTCTAGGTACACTTGCACATATTTTTTTAAGGAACTCGGCAGGACGGCTACCCAAAGGTCTTCTGTGGATTTAATTAGCCTCAGTTGCTTCTCTCACTTCATGTAATCCCAGACCGACTCGATGATGTTGATATCAGGGCTCTGTGGGGGCCATACCATCACTTCTAGGACTCCTTGTTCTTCTTTATCCTGACGATAGTTCTTAATTACTTTCACTATTTGTTTGGGGTCGTTATCATGCTGCAGAATAAATTTGGGACCAATCCGATGCCTCCCTGATAGTATAGCATGTATCTCCCTGTACTTCTCAGCATTAAGAAGACCGTTCATTTTGACCAAATCTGCAACTCCATTTCCAGAAATGCAGCCCCAAACTTGCAAGGAACCCCCCCCCCCATGCTTCACTGTTTCCTGCAGACACTCATTCTTGTAGGGCTCTTTGGCGAACAAACCGCCTTCTGCTACAGCCAAATATTTCATATTTTGACTCTTCAGTCCACAGCACCTGCTGCCCTTTTTCTGCCCCCCAGTTCCTGTGTTTTTGTGCACAGTTGTGTCACTTGGCCTTCTTGGCCAAGTCTTTCACTAAGGCCATTTTTGACCAGACTTCTCCAGACAATGGATGGGTGTACCAGGGTCCCACTGTTTTCTGCTAGCTCTGAGCTGACGACACTGCTGGACATTTTCAGATTGTGAAGGGAAGTAAGCATGATGTATCTTTCATCTGCTGCAGTAAATTTCTTTGGCCGACCACTGAGTCTACGGTCCTCAACATTGCCTGTTTATTTGTGCTTCTTCAAAAAAGCTTGGACAGCGCATCTGGAAACCCCTGTCTGCCTTGAAATGTCTGTGTGGGAGAGACCTTGCTGATGCATTATAACTACCTTGTGTCTAGTTGTTGTGCTCAGTGTTGCCATGCTGTATGACTTTTGACAGTAAACTGTATTCAGCAGCCTCACCTTGTTTGCTGAGTCTGGCTTTTCCTCACCCAGTTGTATTCCTCTTACACAGCTGTTTCTGTTTCAGTTAATGATTGTGTTTGAATCTACATATTGATTTGGTGGTCATTAGCACCTGTTTGGTGTAATTGTTTTTATCATACCCAGAAAAACTGATGCTGTGTGGAAGGCAAAGGGAGGTCACACCAAATTTTGATTTAGATTTTTCTTCTGTTCACTCACTTTGCATTTTGTTAATTGCTAAACATAATCTATTAACATGTATAATTTTGAAAGCATTCTTACTTTACAGCATTCTTTTTTCCACTGACTGTTTTGTGTTTATCTGCAGTCATCTTTGGGGAAGATGTTGCCTTTGGTGGAGTATTCCGATGCACAGTGGGTCTGAGAGACAAATATGGTGAGATGCTTCATTCCCATTCTCCCAATTCAAAAGCTTCCACTACTGAGTTTGTGAGATCTGCCTGCAACCTGTTCTTTTGTCTGCTATACGCGATTATACCACTAGGTGGCAGCAGAAGACTGTCTCATGGTTCACTTATAAGAGGACCAGAAGGACCTGTTTGCATTTATGCGTCCATTGTAGCAGGGTAGCCTTACAAACCTGAGACAGTGAACTGATGTAGCATGTCAGTGTTCACTGCTGTGAGTACATTCACATTTATTTTATTAATTCAGTCTTCAGGTTGATCGTATAGCTACAGTAACAGCAGGCAGACAGACATTTTGTCACGTCATAGCAGGAGAATCACAGGTGTAATTAATAACATAATAAGAGTCTGCATTAGCTTGACCTTTTTTCCCTCTTTTGTATTGTGCAAACACACATGTCTTACTGGGCCACTTAAATATAGAAGAGCCATTGTTAATGTAATTAGTAACACGTGTGCTTTCCCTGCAATGACCAGTAGAAATGTGTGCTGTGATAAAGGCATATAGCCTTCTTCGTGATGTTTATGTTCACTTGTTGTTGAATGTGTGAGAGAGATGAGGAACCAACATTTTGTTGTAAATAGTATTTTAGGGCCATTGAATTGGTTTGCATTATTATGTTAGGTTCATGGCAGATATCACAGCTAGATATTCAGCTGTGTTAAGATGTGGTGACTGTAAAAGCAAGTAGCATTTTATTCACATCCTTTTCATACTCACTAACCATTCAGTGAGCCCTGGCGGGCCTGGTAAGCTGTAGTCACAGCAGATTTTTTCTGTCATTTGATATTACTGAGACCTTCTTCACTGCAGACATTTTGACATGTCAAAGTGGGAAAAGCACAGGTGTTACTAATAACTATAATGATTGCTCAGTTTTATTCAAGCATCCCAGTAAGCCATGACAGTGTGACAGCGAGCCAGCATGCACAATAGCAGGACCCTTAAACTGAATCAGCTAAATGGGATTCAGCCATCATTCATTTTGTTATTAAAACATCTGCATCATTTCCTACTGTAACGTGTAAAAATGCCTTCTGTGAAAAGGGTCTAATGGGATGTAGCTTCTACTGCAACTTGCTCTGAAGTTTGAACCCACAGACAGAACTTCATCTGCAGTTTATTACGTTAGTAATTTATGTTTTTACCCAGTATTATTCAGTGAGGATTTGTCCTTCAAAAGAAGCTGGCAGTTCCAGATTGATTCTGTTGTTGACAGACAATAAACATAAATCTCAATGGGGACAGAAATAACCAAAGACATGGCAATAGCATTAAGCTATTTTCTATCTCTCTGTTCTAGAATAGGCTATAGGCACGGCCAAGATGGATGCTGAGTAGAGGAACATTTAGTGGTTGTAACCAATCCCCCCTAGATTTACTGAAAAATAAACAACAATTTGATCAAATGTTAGTTTTTTTTCCCCAGTAATTTCTGGGAACAACCAATTTGCAAGCTCCCCCCCCCCTTTGAATTAAGCATCCTGATATGTCTTCAGCTAAATCCAGGTCCACTGAAAGTGCTTGACTAAACAGAGTACAGAAACTATGCAATGACAGTAATTGTTTTTCCTGTTCATCATGGTATAAAAGCAGTATGAAATAATTAAATGTCAGTAGATTGCCTTTCTTGTTTTGAGTTCATTTTCAGTTTATTTTATACGTTTGTTTTTAATAGCGAGGAGACTCAAATCCACCCTACAGTAGCTGGCTTTGCCTTTTTGTTTTCATTGACGTCAGAAGTGTTGACCTTTTGGACAGGGATCATTTTTTTCCATCTCATCCTTGTGTACAATGATGAGCACAAAGCTGTTTTTATCCCTCTCACTACTGAAAGGGATGGTGCACACCTCCGCCGCTCACAACCATTATACAGAACAGAGGTTAATGCAGGGCAGACTCTATATGAATGGCTTTTTACAAGGCAGATGCGTTCACCTCGGTGATCCAGCTCTCCCGCCGATGGCTACTGGCTACTCCTGGGGTTGTTTCTCTGAAAACAGCACATATTGACCCTCTGACTAGCTCTTCCTCTCACTGATGTGTAGCCTTTTTCACTAAAAGCAGCATTGGTGACAGACAGCAGCACTGATGATGTTACCCAGACACTTTGTATATTTATTCTGGACTCGTGTGAACAATCTTTGCACACATTGTGTTATTGTAATGTCACTTGGTTGTTCTTTGCCTTGATGACACACAGGAGCACACGCACATGTGTTTGTTTGTCACATATGTCACTTTCACATGAAGCTGCATATGAGGTTGGCTTCAGTCAGTGGCAAGGCAGTACATTTTGATCGCTTAATTGTTCATTCCTCTAAGGGGTTGCGGTGCCGTGGTTGCTAAATGAACTTTGAATTGAACTAGCACAGAGCAAGGCACACAAGAGTTTCACTGCTGAGATTCCAAGCAAAACAAGAAAAGTCTGAATTGGCAAATACACAAAGATGAGAGCAAAAATAACACCCTTGACCCAAATTTAGATTTATTATTTTTTTCTTCAGATTATAGGGTGCAGAATGGAAAATGGTTTGTTTTCTTCTGTTTTTACTCCATGGGGGTTATGTGTGTATCACAGGCTTGGTTAGCTACAGCTGAGGAGACAACCGTAGACACAATCTACAATTGTGGTCCCAAATAAATAATGAAATACAATGGGCTGTTCAGTGATCCATGCGTCGATAGTGGCCTCCATACTTTCAACCTAAAACCTCCTTCGGTGGAAGTTGATATAACCGTTAGCTCCCTTACCCAGTAGCCACTTAGTGCGGTCCTCTGCTTGTACTTTAGCATCATTCCCCCCTCCCTTCTCCCCTCTTCTTCTGTCTCCCCAGGTAAGGACAGAGTTTTTAACACTCCCCTTTGTGAGCAGGGGATTGTGGGATTTGGTATTGGTGTAGCTGTTGCTGGTGCCACAGCCATTGCTGAGATCCAGTTTGCTGACTACATCTTTCCTGCTTTTGACCAGGTAAGTAAGGCTGCAAGCAATGACTACTGTCGTTATGAATTCAGGGTAAAAGGTTTTTTTTGGACAATATCAGAAAACTTATTTCTTAGAGCTCAAGGTTACTTCTTAAAATGTCTCATTTTGTCCAATCAACATGTAAAATCCAAAGATATTCAGTTTAGTTTTAAGCATTACAGAAGATTTTCTTCATTTGGGAAGCTAGATGCAGCTATGACAGACTAACACAGTGTTTATAGTTATAGAGACAAGAAGTCCTTAAATAATTTTACGCTTTGCAAAGTAACACTTGAAAATCAAAATGCCATTTGCAGGCATTTTATGCTTGATCCAGGACGAACCTCTCTCTCAGCAGCCGACAACATTCCCTGGCACTTTGCAGGTGTCTGGAATGAGGGAAAGTATGTTGATGTAACTCCTCAAACCTGCCTTTTGCATCAAAAATCCAGTGTCATATCTCTCCGTCTTAACTCATGAAAACCAGAATGCGCAGGCGTCATACAGTTAATGCTGGAAACAGCAAAGCAAACTCCTTCCAGGGATAGAAATTTTTCTGATATCTTCCTGGCAGCTCAAAGAAGAAATTCTATTTAAAGGAGCTCCCAATAACTTCAGATTCGGCCTCGCTGTTGTTTCTTCTGTATCAATAGAGATGCTCGGATGAGTCCTCGGGCTATCTCGCTGACTCTCTGACAAAAAGTACAAGGAATGAGAAAAATTGTATTTTTATGCTAATGTATTTTATGTCAATGCTGAAATATATCCCATCTCCATGGTTTTTAGATGTAGTACCACTCACATGCTAAATGAGGGCATGTCTGAGTGGCCTAACTATTCCTGAAAATAACAGTGTATGGCTAGCCAAGACACTGAGTGACTACGCCATAGGCCTGAGCAAATACAGCCTTTAATCTATGTGAACTCGTGTGTGAACTTAGTGACCATAGTTTGAAACCACTATGCTACTTGCTACTTTGCTGTGAGAATGTAAAGATTGTAGGTTGTACTGTTTTACCAGCGCACACCATGTTTCACTTTTGCAGGGCTCTGGCTTGTAGTCAGCTGGGAGTGCATCCCACCATTGCTGCACACAAACAAACAAACAAACGTATAATCAGTGAACCGGGACATCATGATCCAAGTCAGAAAAATGATTAATCAGTCTTATCAGAAGAGACTATCATTAAGTAATATCTTTGGTTTGCATCCCTGTGACCTTCCTAGTTCTATAAATCTGGTAACCTTCTATGCATATACAGTTTTATTTGCGCAGAAGTGATGAGGCCTCTGAGCAAAATATCCAAAATCTTCGTCTTGTATAGCTTATTCTTTGTTGCATGCAGATGTTTGATAAACGGACCTCATACGTGTATTGTTTCATATTCCATAATCAAGCTTGGAAAAAAGAAGCCCTTTTCAATTTTTCCCTGGAAGATTAATGTAGCACTAACAAGCTGAGCAGGACAGCGGACAGCGCTGCTGTTTTACCATGCATACATGTCGACACTGGTGTATTCTCACCCTCTACAAGATGAATGTGACTCCCTGCTGTGCCAAGGCAACTTAAACCAGAGTACGTGATAGTGGCTCCAGCAGCGGTGCAGAGTAACAGTAGATTAAATCTGGTGTGTCAGATGTTGAGTGGGCTCCTTCTTTCCTTCTGCACTCTCACTTAAAATGGTGCAGTCCAGACTGACCTTAGAGAGACATAAAAGCTGAATTAACAGCCCACCTGAGTTTCAGGAAAGAAAACTTGGGACACCTTTTTGGAGGAAGCTCAGGATCAGAAACTGTAGTAGGTAAAAGAAACCAGACACTTTAGGTGATTTTGCTCGTTAAAAATAAAATAGGGTTTTTAAAAGCTTTAAGAGGAATAGCAGAGAGACTGGCTCGGCACATGAAGCCTAAATCAAGTGTCCACTGGTGTGGTCCTTATTCATAAAAACAAAAGAGAGCGCGCTCTTTTCTACGGTGCTTTTTGCTAAATGTTATCATCTTAAGTCAACTAATGTGTGGTTGTGTCATATTGGTCTCTTTCCAGATAGTCAATGAAGCAGCCAAGTATCGCTACCGCTCTGGCAACTTGTTCGACTGCGGCAACCTCACCATTCGGGCTCCGTGGGGGTGTGTCGGCCACGGATCACTTTACCACTCTCAAAGCCCTGAGTCCTTCTTCGCCCACTGCCCTGGCATCAAGGTCAGCCATGTAGTTTATTACAGATTCTGGCTTGTATTTGTTTCTCTGTCATGTCTTACCCCAAAACATATTCAAAAGTGTTCTGGCAGAACATCAGGGTGTGTAGACTGGTCTGTTACGATTACATTAGTGATCACAACAGTCCACATTTTAGTCATTAGTTACAATCATAATACTGAAAGTAAATCTAGAAAGAGAAAATACAGAATGGGTGAAATAAGTACCATAAATATAAATGATTTTGAAGGTCAAGTATAGAATGTCTTCAGGATGAAACAACAAAATCCTGGTTCCTCATATCTTTTAAGTATCATATAGTTGGCACACAAAGTTGGGGAACCGTGCTGAAAAGTAGTCAACTGGCTATTTCAACTTTTTGTCATGGTTTTATTCATTCACAGCTGGCCTAGGCATATTTTTAAAGCTATTTTTATTCCCCTGCAACGTTATCCACAAAACCATGTAGGTTAATAAGCTTTACAAGTCTGTTGTTTCAAGAAAGGACAACAGTAAAACCAGGGCTACTTAAAGCCTCTTAAATAGAACCTGCATAAACCATAAAATAGAAAGATACCACAGGTTGGAGAAATTTGCAACTTACTCGGCGAGGAATTGTGTACCGCTGGAGGAGAAGAGAAACGGTGGGGGGGATAAAAAGGGAGTTAGTTAGAGGGGAAACCAAGAAACTACGTTCTAATCTTGCCTCACATCGAGTTCTCTTGTTCTGTGTGAACAGAAAACCAGCATTTCTGACTTTGTTGGCTGACATTGTTGTGGCTCTTCTCTACCCCACAGAACACCCTGGTGTGTATACAGTACCCTGGTTTATATACTTCAAAAAGAAAGGCTTCATCAGCTTTTGCTGAGGGATCTGAACTGTAGACTAGAGCCCAACCGATAAATCGGCATGCCGATATTAAGTGCAGATATGAGCTGATTGCAGATAACTTGGTATCTGGCTTGATAACAGCCGATAAATGGGGGGGAGAAAAAAAAGAGGCCACTCTGCAACTCCCCTGTTGGCAACACACGTGTTTGTAGGCCACATATCTATAGCAACAGTGTGGGGCAAGGAAACTGTACGGTTTCCTTGCCCCATACAACCGCTGGACGGTTGTTACTGAAGACTGTAACAACCGTCTGTGACATTAGTTTGGCTGTTGTTTGTGCAGAAATTACTAGTACAGAAACGTGTTCCTCGTGTTGATAATCCTAATATATTGTGCGAACAGACAAGAACATTGTTGGTTCTCTGACTAAAATACTCCCATACCTGAGATGGTTGTACTTAAGTGTGGACGGTATTAAGGTGTTACGGAATACCAGTATATTTAGAAACCCCGACAGACCTTCAATACCATCAAAAATACAGCTGCTCCACTTTCTATTAAACTGAGGGAGATTCTATATTGAGGTGATGTTGATGTATTGTAGTGGATGCCCTCAACTAAGGCAGGTGATTGCACATGTAACCGCCTGACGTCATAACTCTGTTCACTTTTCCAGCAGTTGGTGAACACACAACAGGAGCTTTAGCTGCAGCTGTTATTTGCTGACAAACTGTAACCGACAGTGTACATTTACTGCTAAACTTCAGTTTTCCTCTGCTCCGCTGTATTCACCTGCCGCTCGCTCGCTCTCAACCACACACACACACACTCACTGGCTTCATTCTCCGTTCAGTATGATAGAACTTTAACAAGCTGTGGGTACTTGATTAAGAAAACGGATGTGTAGAAACGGATCACTCAGGGAAATGTATGACTCTGTTGTGCGCGAGTGTAGTGGCAAGTGGAGAAAATAACTGTCCAGTCATATAAACATTAAACAATATACACACTATGAACTTCATTCTCAAAGCTAAACACGCCTGCTTGCTTCAGGCTTGTAAAAAGGCAAGTATGAGCCTGCTAAGTTTGTATGTGTGAACAGGGCCTGAGGAGGAAAGTGATTCTCTCCGACAGTGTCACTGTGATGGAATTAGCAGCATGTGCTCAAAGTAAAGACGTCTTTGTGAAAATGTCAAGATACAACACCCCTCCCTGCTTTTTTCTTTTTTACTGAATATATATATATATATCTCATCATCAAAGTTCCTCATACACCACAGACAGGGAATGACTCTGGTTTACAGCTACACTACATCCACTGTGAGCAACCATGGCTGGGAGCATTAAACATGTTTTCTCCCAGCAAAGGTCAGGCTGATAAATGTTAATCTTTGTACGTACTATCAGCACTGTTGGCTCGATCTGAGGGTCAGTCCCACCGTACAGCCTGACAGCCTTGATTCAGCTTTGTTCCAGGGTTGTTATGAGACTCCAATCCATTTAATATCTGACACAAATACAATGCCAGAGAGAAGACGCAAAGAGAAATATCAATACAGTAGAATTAACAGGTTGAAATAAAGAGTTTCTAATAATTGTTGTGGGTTTTGTGTCAGTCTTAGTCCACTCTGTAGATTGAATAGTTCTGTATCGTAGTCCTAACAGTGGATGCAGTTCAAAGCATGTTGGCCTGTTTTCTCTGGAGCCATTCTACATTACACACCTTGAAAAAAGAGGTGAGCCAAAGTTAAAATATAAAACTTTGAATTGGATATTTTCCAGTACTAACGTACTAGTGAAAGTTCTGTTGTCTTAACATCATTACCGGGCCTAATAAAGTGTCATGTGTTCCTCAGGTTGTGATACCTCGTGGTCCAGTGCAGGCCAAAGGGCTGCTCCTCTCCTGCATTGCTGACCAGAACCCCTGCATATTCTTTGAGCCCAAGATTCTGTACAGAGCAGCAGGTAAGCTGGATTGTATGTAAATATATAACTTGTTAGTTTTGCCCCCCCCCCCCCCTATTTTTTATTTTTTTTAGAAAACAGTTCTCCCTTTTTAGAGGTTTGAGGCGAGACAAACAAACAATATGCCATATTGCAAACAATGTGACATCATTAGGACCACAAGTGTGAAGCAGACCGACTAAATGGGTGGTGAAGTGTTTACAGTGCCGAGCTGAATCCCTCGCTCCATCCTCTCCCTGTGAGGAGGGAAACTGTAGTGTGCAGGGAATCATGGTGAAACTAAAGGCCAGCATGGCTTTGGGCAGGCAGCCGTGCGAAAAGGTGTCCAGAAAAGTTGTGATAATCTGTTAACAGTTGTTGGCAGCTGTTACGAAACAGTGCTGTCTTGGCTACATGATGAGAATTTGATATCCATGATTAAGACGGCACTGGAGGCTTGAAGATGATGTTTAAGCTCATTATAGTAATGAAAGACAGAACCGGAACAGATTGGTACCACCAGCCTCTGATTTTCACAGGTTTTGCCATTTTACTGCTTTGATCAGAGCCAGATGAGATTGTGAAATAGTACAGCCGACTGCTGAGATTATTTTAATTATGGCACTAGGTTGGTGATCGTTGTCCAAAACCTTTCGCTTGTTACAGTGCCAGCAGATCTTAATGTTACTCATCTGCACAAATGGAGTGACTGCATTCATCACATCTCCCTCATGTTTACATTAAAGACTAACAAAATGTATAAAATTTCCAGGGCCAGTCACAGTGAAGTTGATTTGCACATCATTGTAAAAAAAGATATTTGGTTGTAGAAGCGTGATTACTCAAATGTAAAATAAAACTACTGTAGCTCATGTGCTAGCCGAGCGCTATTCACAATAGCTTCTCAAGCTTATTTCTATTTTCTCTGCTGTGCTCTTTACTCCCCTTGGCAATCTGTTTCCAGGACTGTACATCATTCAATGAAGAGTGTTATATAAAGAGGGAAAAATTTGCTCACCACTTGATATCACTCATAAGTTCTCATAGTTCAGTATATAAAATATGTATTTGCACTTAGGGCTGAACAATTTTGGAAAATCTAATTGCAATTTTCTTTCTTTCTTTTTTTTTTTTTTTTTAACTAATATTGCAATTTAATATGCGATTCATTTTAAAGCTCTTTACCTTCTTTATTAGTCAAAATGGACAAGCAGTAAATCAGTCTATAGTATGACCAATACAATATTAGATAGAACAACACTGTTCTTTCTTGTGGGTCAGGCCTGTGTTATGATGAATTAGGTAGAATTATTATTATGAGCAATGGTGGTGAACATGTATCAAATTATAATAATATGAGAAAGATAATTTGAGTCAAGTCATGGCATTAAATAATATGATATAATATCATCAGTTCAACCCAGTTCAACCACCAATTAATGAGTCCTTATCTCAGTTCAAATCTCCTGGGAGTCCATCTTTCTGTATCCCATCAAGCAAATAAAAAAATACTCAGTTTGAGGTTTAATTCAAAAGTTGGCCAACGAAAATAAAACCAAGTGATGCCTCTCATGTTTAATAGACAAGTTTAGTAATTCTCCGACAACACTGGAGTTCCCCCGCAGCCTACGATGCTGGTAAGCAGCGCACTGGCTGTAAGCGGGCAGTAACTCAGGACAGACTGGGCCTCTTTCGGACTTGTGAGTTTGGTTTGAAACGCCATTCACAGATATTTCCTGAGCTGACTGGTGGCTGTGTGTTTTCTCTTGGGTGTCGTGACCAGAGTGTAATCGCAGCCTTTGCGATTAGAAAATCTTGTTTTATTACATCGCGATAATATCGCAAATGCAGTTAATCTTTCAGCCCTAATTTTCACCATTTACCGCTGTATCATAGCTATCTGTAAGCCATTGCTCTTTTGTCGAGCAGTCTATACTCCACCAGAGAAGGTTACTTAAAACATGATGCAACAGAGATAAAAACCTATGATAGCTTCCGCCTTTTTATGTTGAGATAAGTCTTTATTGATCCAGAGGGGAAATAAATAAGTCCAGTTCTCCACATCCTCAGAGGTCAGTACTGTCAAGACAGCTTGCTTTTGGTCCACAGTGCAAATTTTTGGGTTTTACTCAGTGGCTGTGAAAGAATTAACTGACATTTGATTGGTCAAATTGTAATCATGTGTGTTGGAAAATGTATAGTGCTGTCACAGCAAGTCTTTGGGAATGATAATATAATACAACAATGAACTCTCAGATTGATGTGGCAGGAGTTTTTGGCAGTGTTTTTGTTGTAGAATTGTTGCTCAGTTGATATGGATCTCGGTTTATTAGCGTCTTGGGAAGTGATGAGATAGTACATCAGTAATGTGCTGTTTGTGAGGTCTTGTTTGCCATGTTATCTCTTGCAGTATTTCCAGATGGGCTAGTGGGACCAATATAATAGAAACATTTTTAAAAGTCTGTGATATGGGTCAGTCAATCACGTCACCAAAATTGTTGAGACATGTTTATAAGAGAATGTGCTTGCTAACCAGCTGTCTTAGATAAATCCACATTGAAAATGCGTGGTCCTCCTTTTTGTTTCTAGTTCATTTTTAAATATTTTGTATGTTTTAAAAGTTGTATGACAAATTACTAATTCGTCTCACACAGTGGGGTTAGCACTGGTAGCATTTCAGGATTAATTTTGATGTCCAAAAGGAGCAGAGTGAGCCAGCTCTCATGCCAGGTCCCCATGCCCCTAATGATCTCTGACTGGATTATGATGTCATGTTTTTAATTGCTGCAGCCTCGCTTAAGATAAAAACCACACATTTGTCTCAACGAGGCCATACTGTTTTGTGGGACCTGAGATTCCACTTATTAAACCATAACCCAGTTTTCATAATTCAATTTTAACATTCTGCAAAATGCTATTATTCCACTCAGCCTATTTTCTGTCTTGTCTGGATATGATTCACCCAAGCCATTTATGTTGTAACATGTTGAGTCGTCGGGATGGGCAATTTTTCTTTCCTTGACGGCTTCCCGAAGGCTTTAAAGGATCATGGAAGTCATTCAAGGTTTCCAGAAAGGTCTCAAACCCAGCGTCTCCCCAGAGTATTATTACTCAGCCTATTTGTAATTTTGACTTCATGCATTGCCATGTAGGAATGCTTTTAGCAGTTTGGTTCCCCCAAAATTCACTCACACTTTTTCTGTGCTTTGTGTGTTTTGCAGCCAAAGCCATAATGGTGAATGAGGTTCAGAGATAGTTAAAAGACTACATTGGGTGATTATATGTTGTGTCTGGGCAGTATAAATATTGCTAATAAGCTGCATTTTTAAAAGTGATGGCAGTTTGAGTTTATGATAAGTTTTTGCATTGTAATGATTTCCATGGCCGTGCTTCAGTTTTCCAAGACGTTATGAACTATTATTCAAACCATATACTTGCATGCACTTTGTGTTGGAGTTTGGTTCAAAGAGAGGCGGGCTGCGAGGCTCCCCTTTTTGGACTGATGTCCCGTTTATGTGGTCCCTTTTCTGATTGATATCCCAACCCACCAGTGTTTTGTTGTCAAGATTAATTAGGGTTATGGGATTGTAGCTGGCAGCAGATATCATTAGGTCATGCATTAGATTATGCTGATAAAAGCACACTCAGTCTCAGTGAGAGACAAGCTTCTGGAAAAAAACATGAAGAAGCGTTTAAAATGGGCCAGATAAAATGTTTTAGAGTAGGAAATTGTGTTATTTCACGGTCTGTCATTTCACGAGCTTGTCATCTAGTGTATCATTTAGAGGACCGGTCAGTTGGTGATCTAAGTATTTTACATGAAAACCTCAGGGTACATAGTAAAATGATTAATCACTGTTCAGAATAGACTCTTGTTTATTTTGCGCATGTAATGTATACGTAAGCACTGAGGGAATATTAATCTGTTATTGAATGTGTGTGTGTGTTTCACTTAGTGGAGCAGGTTCCTGTGGAGCCCTACACCATCCCACTTTCGCAGGCAGAGATCCTACAGGAAGGAAGTGATGTCACTCTTGTTGCCTGGGGGACACAGGTAGGCGATCCCGTACATCATCGACAGACCGTCAGTGGGTGACTTTAAGTTGTCATCTATCTTTGGATCATTTTCCATGGCCACAGGCACAAAGAAGCCCAATCTCGTCTCCATTAAATGATGTTTAAAGCCACAGAGGCAAGCAGAGGATTAACTTTTAAGTCTATCACAAGCCCCCTTTGTACCAGCAGGGTCTCTCAGCCGGCAGCCTGCGGCTGTATCTACCCAGACATCTCCACAAGGCTGTTCTTGGCTCTCCATGTGTTAACACTTCATGTCTGCTGCACACTTTCCATTGTTGCATTTCTTTTCATTAGAGAGATTTTATTTTCTGCAGCTCGGTATCAAGGTGCCTGAAACTCACCAGGAGTCATCTCTGACTTGGATTGTACCCAGCCACTTGAACGGGCTTATCCGGGCCGTAATGCACCTGGAGCATTGATGGGGGGGGGGGGGCGTTGACGTATGAAAGCTCTTCTTTTTGAAATGGCTCCTTTCCTGTCTCATTACCAGTGCTGCACGATATGAGTAAAATCTGCCATGTGCAATAACACTGTTCAATATTGCAATCATACGATACAGCAAATAAAATAAAAATATTGAAATGTGCATATGTGTGCCAATACAGAGAGCAGGGCAGAGACTGCAGTGTGATAATTAATACTAAGGTTACCCGTTTAATACTGAGTTTCGGTAACTATTAAATGATTATTTTTATTCATTACATATTAGGCAGTCTTTTGCGATGTGTTAAGCCTATTCATATCGCCAACGATGAAAATACGATTTCAGCACTACACATTGCCTGTGCAGATGACAGTAAAGAAGACTGTTTGCACTGTGGAGTGAAAGGACGAGGGCCCAATCCTAAGTTTCTGTACAAGATCCACTTTGCTAAAATTAATTATTCCTTCATAAATTCTTTGTTATTGAGGTTATTTGTTAGCTTGAGGCCAGGGCCTGTATCTTTTCAAACTGGCTTGACTGTTGACAACTCTTCTAGTTGTGATGATTCAGATTTATCAAAGCAATTCTTTTTCAGCCAACAATGCCTGCCAGTAATCATGGACTCAATGAACTTAAGTACTTTATTACACAAATGATGAATTAATGGGAATAACATGCCTACCATGTTTTAAATAGTTGTTTTTAACTTTCTGCTCTATAGGCAAAGTAGTAAGTTAAAAAATACTGGTTTGAACAGTAAGTTTAGATTTATCTACACTTTCTTTACATTTAAAACTATGCGTTTATGTTTTATATAAAGGTGGAATAAGCATTTATTTTGTTGAAACCTCAAATCCAAAGCAAACATGTGTCAGGCAATTTTTTTTTTGTTTGTTTGTTTTTTAGGGGGGCAATTGCAACAGCTTCAATATTATATTGTGTGTATATATGGTAACGTGAAAACACATTTATTGTCACTCACCTTATATTTTTTATTGTCAGCCAATTTGAATTGAAAAATTTCTAATTCGCAACAAATGTGGGACAGAGAGGAATATCCAAACTGCATTAGATTTAAAGGTATTCCTTCCTTTTCTTTTTCCATTTAGATCCATGTGATGAGGGAGGTGGCCAATATGGCGCAAGAGAAACTGGGAGTGTCGTGCGAGCTCATCGATCTACAGACCATCCTGCCCTGGGATGTTGAAGCAGTTTGTAAGGTAACAGAGAGACACGCGCGCACACACAGCAGCCTGAGCAAAAATTCATCTTTAAACTGTGAACAACATCAAGTAACCAAAAATTCTCAAGCTCATTTTCTGTTGAGAAACAATTTCACTTATTTTTCAGAGCTTCCTTCTTGAGCCTATTAACCTGTATTCTAAAATTACTTTTGTAACATAGTCTGTTTATAGCGTTACTTTCATCTTTGGTCACAGACTGTGTAGCATTCCCAAATGATTACACTTCCTTAGATCATTTAGATGATCATTCAGCAATAAATAATATTGTCATTGAAAAGCTTCTGTTCACTGGAATCATCCCCCTACTTTTGTTGTGGCTCTGAGACAATGTTCCTCTGGACAGTGTGGTTCTCTTTGGTGCTTGATAAACAGTATTCCTTCCACAGCTCGTAAGACTATTAGTTGATTTTGCCTCAGCCTTACGTAAGCTATGGCCAAAACAAATTATTTGGGAGAGCTTTGAGAAAGTAGTTGCTTTCCAGTGGGTATTCCATGTTAATTTTGTTTTGAAATCAGGGAAGGAGCATGACACAAGACAGTTTTTGGGAATAGTGGCATAGACAGATTCTTTCCCAGTCGCCATTGGTGAGTGTCTAAACCAGCAGGAGAGTCTAATGTTTGAAAAGCTCTTTAGAATCAATACCAAGGTATTCACAGTGTTATATGCATCCTCTCCACCCTCAGGACACGGCTTTTCCTGTGTCATATGCTGTCTTCTTGTGTCAACACGGCCTCTTTTTGGTTTTTGCCGCTGAATCACCAGATACTTTTTAATTTTGCATATTTATTGTCCAATTTCCATGCTCCCCTGGTGAAACATACAGCTTTGTCAGTAAGCACCATGCTGCTCCTGCTGCCAAGCAAATCATATAACCAACAGTTGAGGCTCAGGCTGAAATTGCGGTAGGAGGGTAGTAATTTAATAGGGAGTAAATTGGGACTGATGGCAGAGACTGTAGTATTGTGCAGGCGCTGAAGAACTTGCAACTCAAAGTGAGCAGTAGTCAGTTACACATTGTTTGTTCGAAGAGGGGACCTCAAGTGAATGTGGTAAATTTTTTTTATTTTGAAGTAGTGTCCCATTAAAACAACTGCCATGAAATTGAATAAAGTGTTTATGTGCTGCTTAGTGTGCCTCATGCCAGGCCTGCCACCTCAGGCTTGTCAACAACATCTCTCCTTGTCATTTCCTCCAACCAAATGCCCTCATGAATGTCTGTCGATAATAAAAACCCATAATCCAATTTCCCCACAGCAGTGTTGTGGGGGGTGTGTGTGTGTGTGTGTGTGTGTGTGTGTGTGTGTGTGTGCGCGCAACACACACACAGATCCTGTTGCCTCTTCCATATTTGGCAGTTAAGTCATTGTTTCATTACATGGATACACTGGTATCCCTAGAGTGTTTTTTTTTTCCTCTCTTCATTGAGACCCAATTTTTCTGCCGTGTTGTACTGGCTGAGCACAGAAGGAGCCTTTTTAATCAAGCAGAATTAATTCCATGCTGAATCATAATTCTTATCACCCAGACATAGGAATACACATTAAGGCCTTTTATTTTATCTTTTAATTAATCTGAAGCACATAGGCAAATATCCAGATGTGCATTAGAAAACAAAGGAGTGCTATGGTGCTGTTTAAATCAACAGAAATAAAAGGTGGTGGAATCAGCACAGCTTTGAAGGCATCAATGCAATATCTTGTTCTGTTCCTTTGATGCATAAAAGGTGCTGAAGGCATAACGCTGAGATTTACCTCTGGTGTCCAAAGGTAGACATGTCTGCTATTGTTTATTTGCAGCGCTTGGCATCACCTTTGCCTCTTTGTGTATGTTTATTTTCGACTATTTTATGACAATTTAGAGATCAAACAATCGATTTAATGGTGAAAATAATTGTCAGATAAAATAATTGTCAGTTGCAGCCCTGCAATTAGTTCAACCAGCTTCTTCCCTACTGTAATTATTATTATTAATAATAACAATAATAATAATAATAATAATAACCCCTTTCTCAAGAAATTTCTTCAAAATAGACACGGGCAGTGAAAGCACACGTTCTGTCATACTAGTGTACATTGAGTATCTGTATAGGTGCACAGTCACTTGCAGCCGTGCACATGCCTAAAGTATAATTTGGGCTCTCCCAGAAATAGAAATGTCCTGTACACCCTGAATGGTGACGTTTCTGCAACAATTGAAAGAATGGACACAAATGCATAAAATGAGAAACCCTGCCCTTCATGTCCTCAGTAACCTCGCACTGTGGTGCCGTAACTACAGCTTGCAGTGCAGCTGCTCTGCGCTGGCATGACATCTAAATGGTTCTGTGGGCGCAGATATTAAGAGCTTCATCACGCAGCAAACCACCCATGCAGAAGTAGTTTAAGTGGAATATCTATATAAAGAACCATTTCAGGGCTGCAAGTAATCATCATTTTCATTGCAGGTTAATCTGTAATTTGAATAATGAACTGATAAATTGTTTACTTAGGTAAATTAGGTTACTTATTGTTTTCAGATTGCTTGTTTTGTCTGACAAGCAGTTCAGAATCAAGAGATTTTTAATTTACAGTGATATAAAACAAAGAAAAGTAAGCAAATCCTCACAGAAGCAGGAAAAAGTGAATGTTAGGCATGTTGATTCTCCCAGACTATAATATGTAAATGTAAAAGATGAAATAATACCATTAAATCACATTTATGTTGCTTAACTATCACTCACATACTCAGTCTCCTGTCAGGCTCTTGGAAAAAGTCAAATTTTTTTCCCCCAGCATTTGGGTAACTTTTTGCTGTTTGACAGATTATTCTTATCCATCCCTTGTGAATGTTCAGTATTTGTCCTCGGGAAATTGCTGCAGTGATTTATCTGTAACCAAAATTATTGACAATTAATTTTCTGTTGACTATAGCCCACCAGAGTTTACACATTCTGGCATCAGCTTTTTTATGTTCGGAGACATGTTGTAGTTCAGCATGTGTCATGCCTTTTCTGATAACTGATGATACCAGACCATAATAACAAAGTATTGGCAGGGGCCTAGATTGTATTTTCAAAACTGCAGATGATATTGTGTACTCCTGAGGCCTCTTATAGTGTTACAGCCTAGTTGACATGTTTTTTTGACTTAGTAAATAAATGGTTAAGAGTTTGTGGAGCCTTTTTGTAAAGGCTGTTATCCTTTGATGAATAGATCCTTGGGACCAATGCTATTCTTAGCTTTAGAGAGGGAGTATCCAAGACATTGTGTCAACTTCTTAATTCAAAAGATTGTACACCTGGTGTCCAGCTTTTCCGGTATGCACACATCTTTGTAAAGCAGGCTTTTTGCAGCGCTTATTAACTGGCCGTCAGATGCGGTGAGGGTGCAGACAGTAAGATAGGCCGCAGACACACATCCGGCTCCTGACAGCCAATTAAAATTTCCTGTGAGTCACATTTACCTCGCATATCTCGCAGTCAAGGATGTGTGCACATGTCTGTGTTGTGCGGTGAGCTGATTTATATGTAGCCTGTGTGTTGTTTTTGAACGTGGATGTATAAAATAAATTATGTGTCTTTCAGCATGAGAGATCATTAAGGCAGCACTCTGAAGGAACATGCCATCTATCTGTTTCCTGAGGGATCCATTCTGGCAGCCATCAACTATACTTGGATCTAAATATATTCAACCATCTCGTTGACAAAGGGACTCATGGGCAGAAATTGCTGTAAACGTAGAGAAAAAAATGTGTATTTTATTTTGTCCTGCTATCTAGAGCGGCCCAGTAAATGTAATAGTTGTTCTTTAAGGGATAAACAAAATGGCCGGTTTAGCTTTGCCAGACCAATGGCTCAGATGATATGCTGCGGAAAGTCTCCCTGGCTTGCTTGGTCAGAGGACATGTGGAGATGTAGTTGTGTAAAGATGCTCATGTTAGGAGCACATGCTGCATGAAAGCTTTTTGTCTCCGCACTGAGCAGTCTGCTTCACTCTCTATTTTTTATTGGCTTTTATTGTTGTGCAGATGGCCAGTTATCCAGCTTTTCCGTCCGTTCTTACATAAATCTACATTTGTTTGACTTGGCTTTGAGTAGGTCAGTCAGCAGTATTAAAAAATCTGCTCCCATTATTGCATTAGTCCATCGTTGATGATTCAGCCTCATTCTCAGGTTTTCCAGACTCCACATCCGGCCAGTGAGGAATTAGAGGCTCGGCAGGGCCTGTCCGTAATACAGTCATTGGTTCTTTAACCACGATTGGACACAGTACTCCCACAGCACCACATACAAGTCCTGCTGGGCAACAGCTCATCCACCCAGGAAACCTTATGGACCCCCCCCTTCCCCTCAAGGATTTTCTACTTACTGTAAGTTCTTAACTGTGTAACTGCTCTGTCCTCCATCAAGCACATCTGCCGTTCTAAACAGGTCTGTCCAAGACTATCCCACTGCCATCAATTGGCTGATGTGGCCAAGATGGCTACAAAGTCTTCATTTGTTTGTCACCCATAAAAGTAAAAGTCATGTTTTCTATTTTACCAGAACTGGATCTTTGCCCACCTTTATCCCTCCTTGGCTGTCACTTTGGATCAAGTCAAGTTGGAGCAAAAGGAACATGTGATCTGAATTATTTCACATGTAACCCATATATGGTAACTTGCGCAGTGGCCGTTGGATTGCTTGGTTCCTGGTATTGCTGCTTGCAGTGTTGTCGGGGGGAGTGCCAGTTCTGAGCGAGCCGATTGCTTGAACATGGAACTGCTGCTTGTAGCATTGTCGAGGACCGCGATATGGCTGCCCGCTCCTGTCGACTTCACACTCAACACGGCACTCCAATGGGTCTTCAGCAATCCACCCACCAAGTGGAGTCAATCAGATGAACTCAAGATATGCACATACACATACATATAAACGGACAGATTCTTTCCTTTATAGACTTATAATGCTGATAGAGTGCCACTTATTTGGCCAAATGGACATATCTACACATGTCTACTAAATGTGGTTGCAATGGTACAGAGCTTTTAGGAGATATGACATTTTTTTGTAATATAAGCAATTTTAAATTCAAAATCTGGTGACGATGGCTCAAAATTACAGTAGCGAAAAAACTGCAAATTATTGGCACACAATCAACATACATGCAAATGGGCTGAACGATGTGCAAAAAATTATAATTTTGCATTATCTTGACAGATATTGCTATGGTGATATAAATCACAATTTTAGTGGCAATGGTAATATTTGCAAAAATGAAAAACAATGATGTGGTGATTTTTTTTATTTTTTTTATTTTTTTTGCTATGGTCTGTACCAAACTACGTAGCATGTTCCCATGTCTGGTGAAGACGATTTTTAAGCCCTGACATCTCTGTAGTGCCATAAGGCTTCATTTATATAATGGTATGTTGTGACACATTTAAGTTATTTCAAAAATCGCTGCTCCTACGATTTGGAAATTGCTCTTGGCAGTGTTTCGATTTCCATTAATTGTTCAGCCCTAATGGGCGTAGCTTATATGGATCGAATTGTCCACAGAATCCAGGAAAGACTTATTATACCACTACCATCTGGTCAAATTGCACCAAATTTGACACTCCCCTGGGTCCTCAGCACCATACCAAGTGTGAAGTGGCCTGGATGAACAGTTGCCGAGAAAATAGAAGGATGTACGGACGGAGATTCCTTATCCTTATTTTTAGATGCTTTTTTGTGAAAAGTCAGATGAGGTTGTACCATTGACGTTGTTCCATTTGTTTCTGGTGCCTCCGCTGCCAGACTTGGGTAAAAAAGCCTGCAGGTGAGTCGGCAGATTAGTTGAGTATCACTCTTGATCAGCATTTTCCTGTGCTGAAAGCGAGCTGTGCATTATTGCACACCATTCCCACAACTGACCAGAGCTGAAAGCATACTTTCCTTCTTTTTCTGATGAATGTATTCAACTAGTCCACTTTACATAACTAATACTTTTTGACATCAAGATGTAGTAGGCCAACAGTCTGTCACTGTAAGGAGTGGTCACATCTTGTGGGGGGATAAAGCTGTTTTTATTTATTGGTATCTCTTTGTTACTCGCGGCGCTCAAAGCTGGGTCTGTTCCTAATATCTTTGCCATTCTCACTCTCTAAGTGTTGTTGGACACATCCTACAGATGTTTGTTCATTTCAACCACTGGGAGTAAGTAAGTCTTTGCACATCCTTTTTAGCAAGTCTGTGCTAGCCTGTGAGTTTGCAAGTCCCATCTGATCCTATAAAAGACCTGAAGTCATACTCCATCCAAAATCTGTCTTATGAGTATTAAACACTCTCTCAGCCTCTGTGGGCTTTAAAGGTGGATGTAAAATGTTTTAGTTTGCTCCTTCTCGAACATTGGCTGTGGCTGGGTTGAATTCTTGTTTGTCCATGTCTATCATAATTCATATCTCTGCTGTCCTCCTGTATAATTAGACTGTGACCTTGTTTACTCAGCATGCAAGGGTCTGGCAGGGTAAAAGTAGTCAGGAAGACCCCCTGTGTGGAATTCTGTGAGGTATCTAGACCTTTGATGAAGACTTCATGCAGAGAAGATGGATTGAAAAATGAGAATTCATGTGTTAAAATGGCTGTATGAATGGATCCATTTTCAATTACATACTATTGGTGACAACAGCTTTGTGTTAGGAACACTGTGGCTGCGTGACTTCTGTCGTGTATCCCTACACAACACCACAGCAATGAACATGTGGCCTGCAAACACAAAGAGGGCAGTAACTTTGAATTTGCAAGATCAGATGCAGAAGCATCATATTATTCACACTGTATTAAAATGGTGTGTGTGTATGTTTTTGATTTCCATGAGCTGAAAGCCATAATCAATATTAAAACAAAAAATGTTTCAAATATTTCATTTTGTGTAATGAATCGTGTGTGTGTGTGTGTGTGTCCAAAGACTTTAACAGACATTACAAAGCCTAATGTTTTAAACAATAGCTGCTTTCCCTCTAACCTGTAGCAAACCTGTCAGAATAATGACATGTCAAAGCAGTTTCTTTATTTATTTTTTATCTCATCAAACGTGGTGAAAAATGGCCAGTGGCATTAAAATGTTTCCAGTTTTCCGTTCATCCGTCAGGTGAACGCCTGGAAGAAATTTCTTTAAGTTTTGCACAGACATCCACCTGGACACAAGAATGATTAGATGTTTGGCCAAAACTCAAGAATTAATGACCATTTTTCACAGTTCCAGGTCAGACACTGAATAGGTGACACTTTAGATGTAAAAGTCATTGATACCTCAAAATAGGTTTCTTGGCCATAATTTAAGAATGAACTGGGGGGTTCCAGATTTCACACACATGTTGACTGGGACAATGAGTAAACAATATTTAATATAGTACGGGTCCTTCCTCCATCTCGTCCGGTCTGCCTTTCGCTTCCTGCCTCATTCTGAATTTTGAACATCATCAGAATCACGTGACTGCAAACAACGTATTGAAGAGCGCCTAGCTAATTGTGATCTTGTGAATGAGTTTCACCTACAGCTCATAGAGAGGCTTTGCATCTAAAAATGCCAGGAGAAAACAAAATCACCATTTTGTGTAGCTATACTCACGTCACATCAATATAGTAATAACATCCATTTAGCCTAAATTTACACATACCTTTTTTTTTTTTTTCCATTCAATTCCTTTCAAGTAATCACTACACACTGTATATTATGAGTCTGGACAGCCATGAATGTAAACTACCACTTGACAAGTTGGCAGAGGCATACAGCTGCAGGGCGGTAATTCTAGCTGATAATGTGACATCTTGATTTGCAAAACCATCTACCGAGTATGAATATTTGGCAATACCAATGCTACGCTCTCAGGACTTGAGATGGCCTGTAGGTCCCTGGTATGCCTGCTAACAGTTTTCTGCAGCTCATTGTCTTCTCTTAAATGTGTGTGAACTTCCTGCCTCAATAGATGTGTCTCTTGGCCTGCGCTCCAGCTAAGGTCCCTGTGATTGCAGCGCTGCCTGGATCTCAGCCCTCTTAGTGATGCAACCAATTTGGCTGAACCTGTTAAACCCTCAAAAACACATGCAGGAGGAGTCATTTAAGGACTTACAGTGCACAAGTGCGGGTGCTTAGGAGGAATGTGCAGCAGATCTGCTTTGATTCTTGGAAGTGATGCAGGTTGCAGTGTCTGCGTGTTATGAGTGCTCTGTTGACTCACTGTAAGACCTCTTTATCAAGGCTGTGCTTACCCTCTCACCCTCTCTTAATGGTTTCAAGCTGTAAAGTGCATCCTGACCCAAAGACGGAAGGTAAATGCTGTGTATGGAAGCTGGCATGAGTCAGGCAGGACGCGGTATGCTCAGACATGTTTGTTTGTCATCCACTGAGGTGGAAAAAGACATGAAAGCAAATGGAGTGGGGCAACCACCAGTGTTTTCTGCTCAATGTCAGGTTTAACATGTTGTTCATGTCTTGATGGCTGTGGCTGTTATTGTTTTTAATACCACCTACTATAATTATATGGGTGAATGATCTGCCATTCTAAGTGGCCATGAAGAGACTTTAGCAGTGCAGTGCAACATGGGCTGATGGAAAATATTCCAAAAGTGTTACCACATATTAATGTGGGACATAATCATTAAAACGTTGATACTTTAAAACATTTGACTGTCTGTATTTATGCAAAACTGATCCCGGCTTCTTCAGATGGAAACAATTTTTTGATAATGAATTAAAAAAAAAAAAACTGAAGCCATTTCTTTACTTACTTTTACTTTAAACCTCAACTTTAATATTTATGACTAAAAAGTAGCCTGGCTGTTGCTTTCAGTGGGAAAACCAAACAAGCAACATCAATGCACTGAGTTTTACCCCAAACCTCACTCTTCTCAGCCTCTTCTGAACATGTTTTGGAAAATTTGATCTAATATGAAAATGTTTGAGCGTCAAAGTGATTGTGGTTAAGTGAGCTTTCAGTTTGATGATCAGTTTTCCTTATGACAAGAATCTGCCAGGGGTTTTTCACGTTTCCCTCTGCCACATCTGGCAGTAGTGCTTTTAATAACTCTATAATAAAGCATTTTGCTCCATTCAAAAGTAAATGATGATGATGTCAGCTTATTAATGATCGACAAGTTGAAGCATTTATTTTTGTCAGGTGGTCAGTGGAAAAAAATTAAATGATTCCCACCACTTAAGAAGTCTGCTTTGACATCTACCACTCATAGCTAGCAGCCTCATTATCCTTGTGTTCCAGCCACTATCATGTTGAGTTATGAAAATGTGTGGAGCCCGTCCAGTGGAGCCAGGTTTCTGAATGGCCACATGGAAATTTGTTAAAACAAGTCTGCTGTCAAATACTGGTTCAGATGCACACATGCACGCTTGATGCTGTTTGCTGCATGTGTACATGGCACACCACATGATGTCGCCCACCGGTAGAGATACACCCCTCCTCTTTATTTGAGATAGGACAGCATCTCATTACATAATCTGAACACATCACTTCTCATCCATGTTCTAGTGAAAAAGTACAGTAAAAGTGATAGCTAATTCTTTTTTTTCTTTTTTTTTATTGCCAACCAGAAAGCTGAACCTTGAGCTTGTCATTATGATAATGTAGAACAGCACATCATGATGGCCTTCAGCTGATGGCCCAGGACCTGCCTGTTTCTGCTGTGTTTAGGACACACAGTTATCATGAAGGGCTTGTTTTCACTGTATTTTAGAGTAGTGTTATTTAAATAAGCTACAATTTTAAAAATAAAATAAAAAATTACAGCAAAACTGCAATGGATAGAAAACTTTTTTTAATGTTACATTTGAATCCATAATATGAATAAAGTCATAAGTCAGTAAGGACATAATTCATAATTTAGCTGTTTTTTCTCTTGGCTTTTAATGTTTTTTTTCCTCTTGTTGCCCATAGTAATGGCTTCAAACTTAGCTTGTATATTTTTTTTCTTTTTTTTAACCTTCTGTATTTGTTGCAGAAAGAAATGAATTAATATTAAGACTACTATTAACACTCCACTACTAGGTTTCTGTAACAGTTGCTCTGAAATTACAGAGGTGATTGATAGAAGATCAAGATGGCGATTTACAACCAGGTGTACTTTGTAGTTGTAGGGAGTATGAAGAAATAATTTTAGTGTCTCAGGGAATTCTAATTTGGTAAAAAGAAATGTATATCTGGTGTAAGGCTGATTTTCACAATCATTGTATTGTCACTACCAGCCATGACAGGCTCTCAACAACTTAACACCACATGCTGTGATTGGGAGTATTCAACTAGTCAGCAAGTGAGCCAGAGTAATGGAGAAATTGTTTTGAAGTAAGTCCAGGCTACTCCTCCTGTAGTGTAACTGTCGGTAAGCAGTCTGTGGAAATACGCACTCACTGTCGGTTTATGTTTTTAATACATCCGTGGTCTACCCTCTGTCCTTGTGATAATGGCAGCTAAAGTTACTAGAGTTATAGTTTGGTATTTGTTTGCATAATGTTAACTAAATGTTTATTGTTGTAACTAAACTGCTTAAGTGCAGAAGTGGTCCTCCTTCTGTCGTTTTTGGCAGTTACCAAACAGCTTCAGGTGCAGTAACACTCCTTCTAGACTGGAGGAGGGCCAACCCCGATTTGCATGTAATCCGATTTGTGATGGGGCCAACAGACCTCCATATATAAATTTAAATTAAAGTGTCTTTAATCTCATAATCTGGATATGAGACTTTTTAAATGACAAGTGATACTAATTATAACAAATAGTTGGATACAAGCATTGTATAATTCATCATGCCTTTTCTAATGCAGTGATGTTTTTCTTCTGAATAGGTATATTATTGTTCCAGTGTCTAAAGAAGCAGTATGTGAATACCATGTGTAGAAATGTGTAATTTTAAGTTAATAAAAGACTGAGAGAAAGGAAAAAAATAAGTAATGTAGTGTTATTAAGTTGAGCACTAACCATCCGCAAACACGCTCATGTGTTTGTCTAAGATGTCATGTCACCCATTAGTTATTTGCTATTATGTGTCATCATCTAACGAGCACACAAAATTTCACATTATTAGTCTGCATGATGTTGGAAATGTGCTGGAAATTCTTTTTTCAAAGGATCAAAGTGAGTCTGCGGTGTGCCAGAGGATTGTTACCTGAAAAACACACCAGGCACTGTCTATTGGGAAAAACTTTGAACATTCAATCAGTATATCAAATGGGAGTTTTGTTCACAAAAAATGTTGTGGAATATTATTGTGAGCCCACATTATTTAATTTCGCAGTGTAGATTTTGCCCTTGTCTTTGTGAAACCTGGCCACAATTTTCACCCAGCGCACTGGTGAGCAGACCCCTCCTTTATCTGAATCTGTGGTCTGGAGCCCGGCCAAGGAAGGGGCCAGGCAGGCAGCCTGCTAGCGATTAGACGGGCCGTGCTCACGCCTGTGTTTCCCTTTCAGTTGAGGGGTCTCAGCCAGTATCTGCTCACTGGCCCACGACAACACTCCTAATATCTTTGGCTCACTGTCACACACACACACTGGAAACAATCAAAGTAGAAGAAAATGGCACAGGAAGAAAGTGGCCAGAGGTTTGGGCCCCACTCCCTGCATTCGTATTATTGTAGCCCACGTTTGTAATTACAATGTTAACATTGAATCGTGGACTGAACCAGCAGGACTTTGTGGAGAGAGACAGAAAACATGTGGGGCAGGAGAGAGCCAGTTAAGGGGGGGGGGGGGATTTGGGGTAAGGGGGGGTCATACGGCTGATTGGCTGATGTGTGTGTCATAACTCTGTCATGTGTGCTGCTGCAACAGTGTCTCGGTGGTTATATCAGTGGAAAATTACTCATGGTTGTTTTTCGGTGATGGGTCCAGCTCCTCATTCTCTCCCCTGGTGTCGC